CACCCAGAATTGCGGGAAATAATGCGATCTAAGTAAAAATTTTTTTTTGTTGCACTACTTATGATCGCCAGTGTATTATGATTCATCTTTAAAAGTTCTAAAGAAATTTTAGTGTAGTATCTATTTTGATAGATGCTTTAAATCAGAAGTGCGTTAAGAACGTCTTTATTTAAATATATAATTCATAAAAAATAAATAAAATAAAATAAATAGATAAAAAGCATCTATAAATAATACTATAAATAGATTTTTTTTTTTTTAATTATATAGATGGTGATTAGACTTAAATTTTTAAATATTCAAATTAAGCATTTTAAGAATCTATATGACTTAAAATGCTCTTTAACATACAGTATTAAATTCAATAGTATTTTGCTAGTAAAAAGATACTATATATTATATAAATTCAGTTCAAGACAAATACTATTGAATTACAAAAAAATAAATAACTGCAGTAAATGATATAATAATAAATTATTAAGCTTAATATGTCCTCATCCTGCATAATTTTATTCCAGTAAAATAGTAACACTTCCTCCTAATCTGAAAATAATATTCGTCAAATTCATGTTATAAAATTCTATAAAACCAAATAATGTATAAAAAAAATTAGATAAATACCTAATGCTCTGACTGCTATGTTCCGAAGCAATAACTAAATCTCTTTTTCCGTCACCATTAAAATCAAATTTTATAATTTTATTTCCAAGTCTGGCTCTTGGTTCTCTACTTTTCATACATACTTCTGCTAATTTAAAAGTTTCAATATTTGGAATGTTCTTTTGAAGTGTTTGATAATTTGGAGCATCTTGAGATAAATTTTTGGAGTATTCGTGAAAAGATAATATAGATTTTAATGGATAGTTATATATGTGGCCCGCTTCTACAGGAGAAATATAAATTACATATTTAATATAACTCTATTCTTTTTTTGAAATATGCATATATCATTTTTTCTTAAACAAAAAAAACAGATACCCCAAGAAGCAAATGGTTCAGAAATCCAAAGCGAATTGTTAATGTCATCCCAATATACCGCACTTCCAAAATGAGATGCACTCTCAGTTCCTCGCAATAGCGACAACAATCCATTTCCAACACTCATATAGTCATCAGATAATAAAGTTCCTTCTTTTAGATATTCCATATTTATCACACGAACGGCACCGGCTTGCCATAGCTTATTATATATCGGGAATCTCTGGATGCTTGTCTAATATTATAATGTGATTAGCGTTTTTTAAATTGAAAATGTTGAATACTTGATATTTTAGAATAGAAATAGGTTTACCTCGGATTGAGAAGAGACAATCAAAAAATCGCCAACATCTTGAAGAAAATCAGCGGCAATTATTGAACTACAAAATTATATACCGATAAGGACTTAAAATTTCTAATCAAGTAATAATAATGTTAATTTTACCTTCCAATCCCTTGAAACTCTTCGGTTCCACTCAGATCAAATATTTTCAAAGGATTCATTTTATCATCGTCTTTTATTTCAAATCCATAAATACGACCAGCCCACTGTGTTTTTAATTCATTATTATAACCTGGCGCACCAACAATTATTATTGTATTGTTTGTTTGTTTCCTATGATGAACGCTGATAGCTGCTCCAAACCATTCATAAGTTTGACCACTTGGACTTTGCAATGACCAATCACTATCGAATATAGTCTTATTTCCAATATGTTTTTTTGAACTTAGAAATGAGAATATTCTTCCAGTTTGTAATATACGCTTTTTTGACTATGTGAAATAAAAATAATTATAGAAACGAATAAATTTGGTTTAAATGAAAGAAGATTTTTTAAAGCCTACCTTTGATCGATTGTGAGGTCCACAATACGGACACCCAATCAATAAATCTCTAAATCCATCATTATCAACATCTCCGGAAGCTAAGACTTGACCCATTTGATCAATCCTCCAATCATTATTTGTTGTTTTAGCATCTGTTGAAATCTCTAAATCTGGATAATGAGACAATCCAATTTCATATGTTTTTAATAATTTTGATATTCCACTAGGTTCTGCACGTCCAAAATACACATAAACTTTTCCGGTTCCAGATATAAATCGGTTAGAACTAAATGAAGGAGCACTGATTGCTAAATCATCTACTCCATCTGAATTTAAATCTACTACAGCCAAAGACCAACCGAATCGGGACTGAGGAAGAGGGTCAATTGCATACAAGATTTGATCAGAGAGTTCGAGAACGTTTGTTATTGTAGGTGATGGTCGTAATGTTGATTTGCCATATAAAATAAATACTGCACCCGTATGAGGAACGTTTGTGTTTTCATCATACAGGGGTGCACTGATCGCTATAAAAAAAAACATATAGATTTTAGAATAATTATTTAAACATATATATTTTTTTAAAATACTATTTATATAGTTGGTGGGTCGATAACGTCAAATTAAAAACTAACGTCACCTAAATCTTGAAATCCGTCGCCATTAAAGTCACCAGTCACCATATCATGACCAAACAAAGCATAGGAATATGATAATTCCAAATTTATAAATATATTTGGGTTTGTGGGCATAAGTTGACATTTTGAAATCCAACTAGAATCATGGATCGTATTCTTTATTATCGAATTACTGGATGTTAAATGATGTTGATTCTCCCATCGTGACGATGAAATTTGAATATATGCGTTTGGGGAGCCATTTGGAGAAGAAGTAACGTCATGAAATATTTGATTAAATCTATCACTATCTTCTGAACTCTCCTCGGAAGATTCCGAAAAGTATCTTGGTTTCCGATATATTTTATAATGAGTTATGCCATGTTTATCTTTATGATGACTCAAAGCATATCCACTTGCAGTCAATAATTCATATGAATATGTACGAAAGAATTTATCAAAATCAGTTGCATTTCGTAATCCAATCTTATCAGATGAATTTCCATGAGGTTCATTAAATGGAACACATAATGATGGGAAATCATTTCTTGGACCATCTTCAAGCCAACGTGATAAATTATGCCAACAACTGTGTACATCAGCAGCCATGTTATTTAAACCTAGATGCCATGAATCCCATTAATTAAAAAGAAAAATTAAAAGGATTGGAAAAATCTATTATTTATTTTATTATTTATTTATTTATTTGTT